TTACCTTTTTTTGAAAAGCGGGCATGTCACGACGCGAGGGGTGGTAATAAGCCGGTCACGGAACGGGCGCCGGTTCCCAAAGCGCCCCTTTCCCGGTAGGTGTGGGTAGAAAGTAGAACAATCGAGAGGTGGCAGAAGCCCGCCGTGTGTGACACATATTGCGGCACGTGAGAGTGAGACAGAGCCCCGGCAGCGGCCAGCGCGCGCGCGACGCGGCGCGCGCAGCGGCCAGCGCAACAGGCGTTTCAAACAGCAAACGGGACGGCCTGCGCAGCCTCTAACTATAATAGGGAACAACCCGGCGAACCTCACGGGGTCCCCCCTAGCTTGGGATGTCCGTTGTATTTCTTTATTTATGGGTCCCCCCTTGCCCGGGGACCCGAGACTGCGTCAGCTGTTCCCACAGCAGGCTGGAAGTACCTCGCCAGGGGAGAACCAGGTTCGTTGTGAAGAGCTGTGGGGCGCGCCAGCCAAGAACCTCACTATGCGGATCGGCAAAGGCGCGACGCGTCGATCGATTGACGATCTATGCTTTTGACCCATCAGTCTCCCAACATGTGTGACATTAGTCAAAGAACTCACTTCACGGCGGTCCGCACGTGAGCCCCGCGGCGGCGCGGCGCGTCCTGCAACGCCTGTCCACACACACTCCTCGGGTGCACACACACGGACATGAAGCGCGCACGCGGCCCAATGGCCGTGCACGAGCAGCAGCGCAAGCGCCGCCAACCGCACCGACACTTTTGACCGCGTGCGGGAGACGAGCAAGAGCGAATCAACGAGGGTCGGAGCCCTGGCGGGGAAGACGGGGGGTGAGCCCCTCTGGCGGGGGGGTCTACTCAAGTGTCTGCGCAAGTGAGTGCAGAGTGGTGTTCATTAGCTCCGAGTTGCGAGTAGAGGGGCAGGGGCGGCCCGCTGGGTGTGCTTCTAGGGTTGCCTAACGTTAGGAGCTGAACAGTGTTACTAGGTGTTAACAGTAACAACAGAACAAGACAGTGGGGCTCCCCAACAACAGTGGCTAACGTTACTTAGGCCGACTGAACAACAGTAAGGAAGGCCTGGCAGTGACCCACGACGATCTCTAGTGTCCAGTGCGGGTAATAGCCGAAAATGACCCGGAAAAATCCAGGTATTTTCGGGGTTTACCCGGTTTTTTTGCCATTTTCTGCTTGCGCTGGCCGCTGAACAACAGATCAGCAACAGTAACAACAGTAACAAACAGTAACAGCATGGGCTGGGGTGAACACTTGAACAAAGTTAAGGATTTCAGCCAACAATAGCGCAACTGTTAGGCCCCAAATTAACGTTAGGCAACCCTAATGTGTGCTATGACTTTGGACCTTTGCGAGAGGTGGCGAGCGGAGCAAGCGCGGTGTAGGCGCGCCCACGCGGCGCAGCGGCTCTCCCGCGACCATAGCCCCTCCCGCAGCCGCAGC